ATCTGCAGGACCAGTGCTTCAAGTCACCATTATAAACCAATTAGATTCAACCAAAGGAAAAACAGATTTTTCTCTCCTAATGATGGAGTATATTTTCATACATTGGAGTTATTTGAGAGGGATGTTTTGTTCACTTCTGTGTTCCTAACAACTAGACCCAGTGTTTGACACGTACTAAATGAACACTTGGAAAATAGTTGTTAAACCGAATATTTAACAGTACTCAATCAACAATCACTCTCCAGTAAGTCAAGAATTTCCTCAGCTGGTGTGTCTGCATGCACAATGGGATATGGGTGTGTGGGTATGCTGTCATCCTCAGTTCTCAGGGCCTGCGGGTGGTTCAGAAATGGGTAGAACCCCATTAGAACTGACCATAAGCAGCTTCTAATTACCCTGGTGTCCCCTATGTGTGTTAGCATTTTCAGTATTTTGCATGATGGACAGGATTAGGAAAGGGGTAGAAGTACTAGGATAAATCACCCTCTCTGGGTAGCATAGAGATGAAATAACTGATATGACCTCATCTGTGTAATAGCTAAATATTTCTTTATGAAGTACTTTAGTCACCTAAGATCTTAGGTGATCACAAACAGAAAGATGTTATTAACTACACGAAGAAAGTACTAATGTGAACAAACCCTGCTGAGTATTGTTAGGGTTTGGATATGAGATGTCCCCCAAAGTCTCCTGTGTCAAAGGCTTGATTCCCAGTGGAGCATAGTTGAGAGGCACGGCACTTGCAAAGCGATTGGATTATGAGGGCTCTGATCTCATCAATGGATGGATCCATTGAAGGGTTCATAACTGAATGGACTATTGGGAGGAGGTAGAGACTGTAGGTGGGGTATAATTGGAGGAAGGAGGTCACTGGGAAGATGTCCTGGAATGGTATATCTTGTCCCCAGCTCCTTTGTGTCCGTTTGTCTTTCTATTTACAGCTGCCACATGGAGAGAAATTATGCTCCACCATGATGCTCTACCTCATCACAGCTGACCCTACATTGGACCTAATCGTCTGAAACAATGAACCAAAATAAATCTTTCCTACTTTAAGTTGATTTTCTTAGGCATTTTGTCACAGCAACAGAAATATGACGAACACAAGTATATATGTTTGTGGGAACCTGACAATGAATATATTGGGACTGTAAGAAAGTCCTACACTTGCAAAAAGAGTCTTATCTGTCAGAAGAAGTAACAAAGAAAACTCGATGCATACCGATTAGATATACTAAGGACTGCTATGGTTGGAATCTGGAATGTCCCCCAAAGGCTCCTGTGTTGAGGATTTGGTCCCCAATGCAGCAGTGTTCAGAGGTGGAGATTTTGGGAAGTGATTTGATCCTGAGGGCTCTGACCTCACGTGGATTAACCAGTTGATAGACTAACAATTTGATGACGCTATTGAGAGGTGGTGGAAATTCTAGGAGGTAGGATTCAATTGGAGGAAGTAGGTTGCTAGGGTGTGCCTGCCCTAGAAGGATATATCTCATACCTGTCTCCTCTTCCCCCACCTTCTCCTTCCCTGCTGTCATGAAGTAAGCATCTTCTGCCATGATGTCCTGCCTCATCTCAGGCTCAAATCCATGCAGCTAACTGACCATGGACTGAACCCTCTGAAATCATAAGCCGAAAGAAATCTTTCCTTCTTCCAAGTTATTTATGTCACTGTATTTTGTCACTGTGATGAAAAGCTGACTAATATAAGGGCTCTTTCATATACAGTGCATATAAATATTTTGCCTAGAGAATAAGTATCATAGATATTCGGAGGGAAATGAGGCCCTTCTTCTGTTTTGATCATGTTCTCTGAATTTACAACGTGGTAAAGAAATTATTTTCAGAAGTAGAGTCCAAGATGTGAGCTGACATTGGGACCATGTATTTGAAATTGGGGTTACTTCTGAAAATCTGAGGTACATGGTGCCCATTCTTCTAGTGGAGACGTGGACACCCTCAAACTGTTCTGACAATGATGTACTTTCAGAATGTATGTCGCATCATAGGACCAGGAGATGAGCCATCTTGGAGAATGAGTGAGTGGGATGACAGGTGTCATCAGATTCCCAGGTGTTGTAGCCATGGCAGGAAGGTTGGAGTTGACCTATAACCAGGTGCTATAGAGCTGAGGGTCAGACAAGAGGAGATAAAGACAAGGAAACCCCACTGGTAATACCTAAGTAGTCACAAATATGGTTCCAGTGTGGTATGGTAGAAAGAGAATAGGCGTAAAGATAGAGCTGGTATAAATGCTGATTCCCAGTCTCCCTAGCTCCATAGTCTTGAAGACCAAGCCTCAGTTTCCAATGGTACAAACCCAAGAACAATATGCACTGTAGAGACAGCTGTGAGGATTAGTGAGACAATGTTAATAAAGCTCTAACACACCTTCTACACCTAGATCCTTGGTATGTGTTCCTTCTTTTTGCTCTCATGACCCAGGAGAACCAGATAAGACTTGGTTGGGCAGCAGAGACAAACCCCTTCAAACCTGCCAGGCAGACACCCCTGCAGCCTTAGCTACAGAATGGGGACAGCTTCTTTGGACACATTTTGAGAAACTTTGGTAGATAACTAGCAGTATGTGGGGAGAAAATTCTAAAGTGTCCTGTAAGATTCCCATCTCTTGGTGTACACATCTTCTATAATCCCCTCACCTTGAGTGTGGGTGGGATCTGTGACTATGCTAGGACAGTAAGTCCAATGGTTAGGTTATTTTATATGACATAATTAACTTCAAGAGAGGCAGATTGCCCTGCATAAAGCTGAATGAACCAGATGAGTCCTTCAAAAAAGACTCAGATCTCCTTGAAATGGGAATTTCACTTAGAGGAAAGATTTTTTGTTGCTGTTTTGTTATCGTTTCTGGCTTTAAAGATAAAGAGGGCCAAGTGGTAAGGACTTGAGAGTGGTCCCTAGGACCAAAGAGCTAAGAGACACCTTCACTGACAGGGAACAAGGAGCAAGGAACACAGCCAACCACCACCTGAGCTAAAGGACTGGGAAATCCAGATGAGAAACTGTTCAGGTGATTTGTGGATTGAGACCCTGAGCAGAGAACCCAGCTAGGCTATATTTGGACTTCTGAACTACAGAAATTGCGAAGGTAACCATGACTGTTGCCTTAAACCACCAAAATTGTGGTGATTTATTACTCGTCAATGGGAAAGTAGAGGAAGTATTTTTAATCTGATCCATTTGGGTTGTCATTCTCCTCCAAGATTTTAAAGGGCCTTTCAGATTTACAGATTCTGTCTAACTCTGCCAGGCATTACAGATAGGTGTTTTTATGCATCTCTTCCCAAATAGTTTGCATTGGATGGATTCTGGCTGTCCTTGTCCTTTCTTAGATAACCCCGCATATGGCTCACTATGTATGTGTGAAGTGGGGCTGCATTTGTCAGGTGTTTGACCTTCTACCAACGTGTTCACCTCCCTGATCTCATTTGATCCCCACCTTGACTATGATACTGAGGTAGGGAAGAGAAGGCAACTAGAGCACAAAGAGGAAAAAAAATTTTCCTAGGGCTACAGGAAATACTCCCATACTTTCAGCCCAGGGTATTTTCACTACCTAAGAGCATTCCCCACAATGAGGTTTAGCATGGGAAATATGCTTCCAGCAGAGTTTTGTTGAATAAAAAGGTCTATGAGGGTTCTGATGACCCCAAGCCAACGGTGGAGTCAATGTCCCACCATGTCCCATGTTTTTCCAGAGCTTTGAGTAGTTCGATGCTTGTTTTTTTTTCCTGCTCCATTCCTGAAGGACAAGATAACCATGGAAAATGTTCCTTTTCTTTATAATAATTTTAAAAATGACAAACACGTGGCCTTAAGGGATTATTGCAAAGACAGCCCATTATATGACTGTCTCAGCAGCTCAACTATACTTGGATCTTGTGAGAAAAATTAGGGGTTTTGATTTAACAGATATTTGAGTATCCAAAATGTGGGTGGCACTGAACTTGCACCAGAAATACAGTGGTATTTCTGTAATAGACCTAGTGTTGGTTCTAAGTGAGCCAATCATGTTCTTAAAGGCTTTTGTTTTTTTATTCTAAGGGAGAACTTAAAAACTTCTCCTCTATGCTCTATCTGTTTAACATAAGACAGAGCCATCCTAATCATCACTTCCTTGTATAATGGTACGTTGCCTCTTGGCTTGTCAATCCATCCTATTAGCTTCTGTAGGGCCAAGAAAATGTTCTTGCTTCATTGTTCATACCCTCTTCCTTCACTGTTCTTCCTCCCTAGGATTATTGTGCCCACATGAAGGATATGCCCCTCATATCGCTAATTAAATCACTCAAAGTGTTTAAGAAGAACTGGATTGCGTTGCAGACCTTATTTGGGGATGATTACCTTTGTAAACTCTATCAGCATGGGATTTTTAGTAAGCTCTCTTCACAGATTGGACTACAGTAGGCATTCAAGGCATATTTGTTGAGTATATATGTATTCTTCACAATCAAGGGACATGTCATTTGTCCCCACTGTGATGGAAGGTCTGAGCCTATTCCTCATGGGATCTTATTCCCAAGGGAGAAAATTTAAACTATCAAAATCTCAAACGGCCTCTTTGCAGATTCCCTAAGTCACCCTTTTTTTTTTGCCTCTTTTCTGTTGATGTAGTAACAGCTGTTAATAATTGCAGCCCAAATCCCAAATTAGCCAGGCTAAGTGGAGGAATCAGCTAGCCATTACTCCTGGCCCCTTAAAGTATCTTTTAAAAAAAACATGCCAAAGCGACATTGACACTACTGTGGGAGTCTTTAAATAACCACCAGCTCCTACCGCCAGCTCCTAAGCCCAGCAGCCCCTACGCACACTGTGTCCCTGGCTCCCTGGGTAGCAGATAACTACTCAGCACGCCCTCGAAACCCCTTTTAGACCTCCAGCTCCGTTAGCAACAACACAACAAACAATTGAAAGGGCTTCTGGGTATAAGCTTCTGGCTGCCTCCAGAATTGTTGCTAAAATAAGGGGGCAAACGCAGGTGTTCTCAGCCTTCAGAAGAATGAGCCACCAGCACAGGGTCAAGGCCAGGCATGTTTGGCCAGGCCTGAGAGGAAGTCCTCAGGATAGAAGTCATGGACTATCTGCAGACCCAAGTGACGAGCAAGAAGAATAGAGGTATTCTTTCTCTTACAGGACATATCACTGTCTCGTTGGATTCTCTGACCCCAGGTTCTGCATCTCCATTATCCATCACTTCTGGTTATCATTTTTTTAAACTTGGATTGGTTGGTGCTATTTCTCTTTAAAATTCCCTTCTGAATAGCCAGGTCAGGGAGAACAAGGTCAATACCGTGGAAACGGCTTAACCACCTTCTATCTCACCTGGCCACGACTTTGTTGCCAAACTTATCTTTGACCACCCATATCCATGACATGTAGCTGCAGCTTCCTGGAACATCATTGCTCACTCTTGCCATTCACCTTGTCTCTCAGGGGACATTTAGCCATGTCTGGAGACACATTTTTTGTCACATTTGGAGTGGAAGGCTGCTGCTGGTCTTTAGTGGATAGAGGCCAGGGAGGTTACTAAAAATTGTACAATCACAGGACAATTCCTTACAGGAATGAGTTATTTATTTGGTTCAAGATGTCAATGGTGTGGAAGTAGAGAAACCCTGGAAAGGCTATTGACTCTCCGTAGTGCCTGCCTCCTTCTTCCCTTCTCCTTTCCTCCCTTCCCAATTCATTCATTTCCCAAGACCCTGCTTACATGTGCCCTTCTCTGTGAAGCCACTTTCAACCCCACTCTCCTCCTCTTGTTGCTTCAGCTTTTTTGTTGAGTCTGACCTGTTGTTTCCTAGCCTCTAGCAAAATACCGCAAAAAGTGCAAATGACAAGGTCACTCTTTCCTTAAGAACCAGAAAAACTTTCTTGAAACTCTAATTCTGTCCCCAGGTTTTCTGTGGTTTGAAGTCACACAGGACCTGTGGCTTGTCCCCATCTTGTCCTGTGTGCACCAGCGTTAGTTCTGCACCACCTCAGCCCAGACAGGAAAGGCAGGCCTTTCCTTTGTACTTACAAAGCCCTCATTCACAAAAGGCAAATTCTGCAGAGTACATTTTACTGGAAAGAAGTGTGAAAGGGGTTTGTAAATAATTTCTTTTCCTTCTTTCCTTCCTTTTTTTTTTTTTTTTTTTTTTAAATCTACTGATTGAACCCAGGGCACTTAACCATCCCTTTTTATCTATCTATGTATCTATCTATCTATCTACTCATGTATTTAGAGACGGGGTCTTGCTAAGTTGCTTAGGGCCTTACTAAGTTGCTGAGGCTGGTCTTAAACTTGTGATCCTCCTGTGTCAACCTCCTGAGTTGTTGGGATTACAGGTGTGTACCATCGCTTTTGGCTCAAATAATTTCAAAGTGAACATAATCTATCTCAGTCCTACAAGCCTCAGCCTCTTCCCACTCGAGACATTGCAATGGCTGCCTTTTCTAGCATGTTCCAGCTCCAAAAGAGTTTCACCAGCTTTTCTCACTGCCTCTGACTCTCTTGAGTCCTCCTCACCTCTTCCCTTTGGGATTATTCCCAAGAAATTGAATTGACTTGCACTTTTATGTGTCTGGTCCTGCCTGCCTCCTTTCTACCACTTGGATCTGTCCACCTTTGGTCAAGCAAATTCCACTGAGGCTCTCAGAGGGAAGATGAGCAAAACAACAGTAACAATAACAGACCAGGGGTCTCCTGGTAATAACCTCTGAAGACAGGTTTGATGAAAAGACAGCAATTCTGCTGGGCACGGTGGAAAATGCCTGTAATGCCAGAGGCTTGGGAGTCGGAGGCAGGAGGATGGCAGGTTCAAAGCTAGCCTCAGCAATTTGGTGAGGCCCCAAGCAACTCAGCAAGACCCTGTCTCTAAATAAATTATAAAAAGGACTAGGGCTGTGGCTCAGGGGCCATGTGTCCCTGAGTTCAAACCTTGGCACCAAAAAAAAACAAAAAACAAAAAACATTTTTTTTTGTCTTAATCCTTTTTACCTACATGTCCTATTTCAATCTCATGAGTACATTCTTCAAGGACAGAAGCTGAACCTTATTTATCTGTATTCAGGGCTTAGGATGATGCTGGGTATACTATTGATTAAGGACTTCAAAGAGCTCTTCTCCCATTTTGGTGCTGAAGTGGGAAGAGGATAGTCAGGAATCTTCTCAACTCTTGGACTTTGAGGAGTGTGTGGAATTTATTCTTGAACATCCCCAAAGTGAAAAGTAGATACATACATAGGGGGAGTTAAGTGGGGGAACTTTTTTTCTCCCTCCCATAGCTCATCCGTAGATCTATCACACCCAGTGATCCTTTTTAGAGGAGGTACCAATTGTCTCCACACTCAATCCCCCTTTGTCCCACCTCTGGAGAGGAATACAATCAGTAGCAACAAGGCTTCTTCATTCTTTGGTTTTTGAAAACCAGGATACATGATATGCATAGCTTTGTGAGTAAAACGGTTCAAAAAAGAGGAGCTTGGATCCGGGAAGCTAGTTATCCACCTATTGTACTGTACATAGTGGAAACCATGAAGGCTGCTGTTGGGCCCCTCTCCTGGGTAGTGGCATGGAGGTACCTACTCCTCAATGAACTCACAGCCCCTCTGAGAAGCTCCAAGCTCAGAGGACTCCAAGCTCTGTAGACTTTCAGATCCTCATTCTCCAGGCTGGGGAGGAAAATCATAAAATTTCAGGTTTAGTGCTACTGCTGGTACTACTCTCTATATGATGTTCATGTTTTGTGGGCCACTTTGGAACTTTAACCTTTTAAATGGTGTCCTTCACTGTGAATAAATTTTTAACATAATGAATATAAACTTTTTGAATATGTAGTTGATTTGAATTGCCCATAATAGTAACAAGAATAAGAACAGCATTAAAATCAATGTACTTTTGATATGAAAATTGATAAAGGGTGCATGCATCTGAGATGAACGTTGATAAAGTGAGAATGAAGGGGCAGGAAGGCAGGGAACACAGGAATACCAAATTTCTAATCCCGGTCCTGCCAACAGCTAGCTCAGAAAACTTAAGTCATGATCTCAGTTTCCTTGTCTCCCTGTGAAAACAGGATAACAGTGGTTGTCCTGCCAACAGTATAGATTTGCAAGGTGGATCTAAGGAAATAGAGGATTTGGAAAAGTTTTGGGAAGTTAAAATAGTTTTGTAGAGAATAACAATAACATTGGAGTTATCTGGGCCAGAATGACTAAACCAGGTGATTGTCTTGTAACAGAGTATTTGTCAGAGTGGCTCATAGATATGGCAAACTGATGCTGTCCAGGCCTGATGGACCCTGTGTTGCTTGGAGATGCATTCACTGGCAGTTTCCATGTGGTTTAGACACATGTGGAGAGGAGAACGATGTGGCCCTGGATGGGGGTCATGTGAAAATGCAGAAAGCACTATGCTTAGGAGCCTCCCATAGACCCCCAGAGACCATATGGTCACTGGGAACATTCCTTTAGGGCTGTTCAGGGGTATTCGCTGTGGTCATGGGAGGGTCCTGGGGACTGCATATCAAAGATACCTCCCCGAAAAAGACCCTGTAGGTCCACACACTCACGTTGGTCCCAGGGGTACTTTCTATTACCAATACCACAACAAAGAGTTCACACATTAAAATAAAAAGACTCGTGTGCAATTTTAGGTATAGGACCAACATTAGCCTTCCCAGAGACAGGTCCTGGAGAGTCTTCCTTCATTTTTCCACCATATTCTGTTACTCTGAAGTCAGGATCCTGTCCATGAATGCCCATCCTGTACCTTGGAAGTGTGTAGGGGGTATTTCTTCCTTGCAGTTGGTGGGAATCTCTCAGGAGGCTCAATGGAGCATCTTCGTGGAGATTTGAGGAGATGGGGTTCTAGGGGTGCCTCTCTCAGAAGCTCAACCGCACAGCAAGAAGACTTGGTGAGATATGAAATATGCCCATGAGCAAACTTGAATGGAAGTCAAGAGTGTGTGGGAAAGGTGTCTTGCAACTGAGAGGGATAAACTTCAGAAGGATCCTTCACAAGCCTCTGTATCAACCCTGTTCCTGGCAGGAATCCTGGCAGGAAAGAGAGGGGACCTCCTATTGGGACACCTAAAGAAAATTCAATAGAATGACTACAAAGGGCTGGGACAGTTAAAAGATCAGCAAGGGATAGGAAAGTACTCATGCGCTACCAATAGCTGGGAGCCATCATCCCTGGGTCTACCAGGGTCATGGGAACCACTGGTTGTTGGAGCTCAAGAGAACTAAAGGGAGACACTGAACAGGAAGGGAAGTTTTGGGTGGAGGAACACAATGAGTGAACCCCCTGGCCCAGCAATGACGGAGCTGGGAAACGGCCACTCTCATCTCTTTATCTTCTTATCCCTCCCCTCCTCCCAGGGCTTCCCATTGGATGAACCTACAGAGAAGCCAAAGACAAGGGTGAGTGTCAAGACTGCCCAGGGTCTCTCAGAGGGTGGGAATCTTCTCAAGCAGGAAAATGGAAGTTGCCACCTTTTTGGGGCTTAAATACCCACTGTTAAAACATTACACAAAAACAATATGACTTAGTGAAAACAGCATAGAACCCACTAGGGAGGAGACCCGTGTTCTAACCTCATGACAGCTCTGTTCCTCACTTGCTGAAAAGTCTTGAGTGGGCTCTGCCGCCTCTCTGTGTGAGAACCTCCCTTTCCCCCTTCTCCAGGGTAGTGTGTGGATGAAGGGAGTTTATCAGCACTGGAGAGTGAGAGCGTGAGAAGATGGCTGGAGGTCTGGTATTAAGATGGGTCGGGGGAGCATCTGCAGATATTGTAACCTGGAAGGGGAAGGAGAGTGATGGGGGGTGCTTACACCCCTGGGAACCTGGTGAGATAGGACTAAGGGCAGAAGGAGCAAGATCCTGAGAATCATCAAAACCCAGAGATGCTTCCCTCCTCCCATGTTCAGCAGGGCGCTGGGGATGTTCACTGACAGCTGCAGATGTGAGCATTGAGGAGAGAGGACAAGAAGGCTCTGTGGATTCCCGAGTGAGAGAACACTAACTATTCTCATGTAGCGGTTGCTGGCTGTTCTTGCCTCGTTGCCAGAGAGCACATCAGAAGTCACGCAACTCAATGGCCATGTGTTTCAAATAGACTGTCTCTGTTTGCCGCTCTCTCTTCAGAATGCACAGTCCCAAGAGTGGAGGCTCTGCTCACAACTGATGAGAAGGTTAGCCGAGATAATACCGAAGGGATATTCGTGAAGGGAAGAACTTCACTCCAAGTGGGAATACAGGAGAGGAGCGTGAAATAATGGAAGAGATACAAAAGAGGGGTCAAATGTGAAATGCGATCAGTGCCTCCCAGGCAAGGGTTAAGTCAGGAATGGAGAATATCTGCTCGGACAAGTCACTGCTGGGTTGGTATCTAGAGACATAAAGCTGGATTCCTTGTCTTGGTTCCTTTGCCGGTGTCCTCTTACAGCCACCAAAATTTGGAAGGACCACAGTCATGATAAGTCCTGACCTACTATGCCAGGAAAATAGAAGCAGTCCAGGAGGAGATTGGGAGACAAACCCAAGAGAGCTGAAGATATGGAGCATCTTGGGGCTCTAGACACTTCAATCACACCTACAGCCAGGTTTTCTACCAGGCCCTTATTCTAGTACCTGATGCTTAGGAAGGTACTCCCGGTGCTGCTGTCTAGCATGCCCTCTATTTCAACTATAAGAAATGATCATCCTTTGGATCCCAGTTCATTTGTCCCTTCCTCTGGGAAATCTTTTGTGATTTTCCTGACTCGATCAATTTCTCCCTGTATACCTGGGGTAGGGGGGCACCCCTTCTATAGAACTTACCCTAGATGTGATTTTACAGTCGTTTGACTGGTGCATGCCTTCCCCATAGCATGAAAAGCTGCATGAAGCTATGCCCGTTTGCAAATCATTGTCCTCTTCGGATCCTACTTCATTTTATGGAATGGTTTGTAAATTCACATCAGTTCAATGGGTAATGGAGCAAGGAATAAATGTTCTGATTTGTCAGATTTTTGCCTTGTTTCTTTATAGCTGGAGTATCTTGCACAGCTTGGCTTTCTGACATCAGTGATTTAGTTATATCTTTTGCGTGACTTTGGGTTTCAGTTTCTACCTGGAAATTATCTTGGCTCTAAAATCTGTGTCTAGCAGTTCGATAACAGGGGACACAGGAACCATGCAGGTAACAGGAGAGCAAAGTCCTTGAAGGGACAAATAAGAAGGACCAGGACAATTGATTAAAAGAAAGACTGGCCAAGAATCACTTTTACTGACTGGGCGTGGTGGTGCATGCCTGTAATCCTAGTGGCTCAGGAGGCTGAGGCAGGAGGACCAAGAGTTCAAAGCCACCTTTAGTGAGGCACTTAGCAACTCAGGGGGACACTGTCTCTAAATAAAATACAAAGAAAGGACTAGGGATGTGGCTCAATGATTACTTGCTCCTGGGTTCAATCCCTGAGAAGGAGGAGGAGGAGGAGGAGGAGGAGGAGGAGGAGGAGGAGGAGGAGGAGGAGGAGGAGGAGAAATAATAATCACTTTTACTAAGCTTTGCTTGACTGTGTGGATAAGATATGGAATCCAGAAACTGCAAGAGAATAAACTCAAGAAAGAAACTCAAAGAATATCCTGAAATAGTAAACATAATCAAGCAAATTTGAACGAAAGTGGTATTGATCTCATTGATCCAGACTCTTGTGACTTTAGATGTCCATGATGTCAATGACTTTCTCATTATTTTCTTACATCTTACACTCCCTATTTTTTTTGAACATAAATTAATTCATCCCAAATACTTATTGGCTGTAAAATTGCTTTCAAGTCACACTCCCAAAGAACTAAGAAACAAATATAAGCATTCACCTCTTAAATGGCTCTTTGTACCAACATGTCCCAACCTGGGGGCTCCACGCTCCTGACAGACTAGAATTATAAGAATGTAGAACTACAAGATAATAATGTTATTTATGGCTAACACTTGCATAAATGTTGTGCTATATGCATTATAATTTTTTAAGTATTTCATTTTCACAAACCCCCATGAAATGGAAATTTATATACACATTATATAGATGAGGAAAATAAGGATTAAAAACAAGTAATTTGCTTAACATTATTTAAACTTTGTTTAAAATTATACTGATGGATCCAAGATTTGAATCCATATTCATCTGATTCTGAGATTTAAGCTCTCCTGGAATCAGGAGCACAAATGTGGAAGCCCTTTTCACTAATCCAAAAGCATCATGGTGCTGGTAATCTGAATACCATGAGGCTACTGCAATATTCTAAGAGGAAAAAGACCAATCCTTTTCTTCAGCCTCATGGTTATAATTATTATCATCATTGTCATTATGGTAGCATTAATTGAGCACGTAATTTATGCCAAGTATTATATGCTAACCATTTTATTTCCATTTTCCTCAATGCCTGCATATACATGAGAAAACAGGCCGAAAGAAGTGGATCTGAGTTTTGCATCATTGGATTAAAAGTTTCAGGAGGACAAGGAGTCTTTCTTTTGCTTACTGTTTCATTCCTGAACACCCAGCACTATGCCTGGCCCAGAGAAAGTGGCCAATATAATATTGAGGAATGCAGTTTATTTGATTACACAGTATCTATAGACCATTTATTTCTTCAGGAGTTTCAAATGATAGCCATGAAGGAAACAAGAACTTAGTAAAAGCTGGACATTTTTGCTTATGAATGGATGGGAATCAGCACTGGTCAACAGGAGGAGAGAAGCCCTGGCCCTCAGCAGGGAACTGTGGTATGGACCATGTTCAGGTTACAATATAAACAATTTAGAGGTTCTGTTAAATGAAGATAAGTGGAAAGGAAAACCTATAGGTTAAATGTGTCTAAAACTGAAATGCATAAAGCTTATATAAATAGCATAAATAGGAAAAATTTGTTTGAGTACTTCAGTACTGTGTGGGCTTTTTCTCATCCAGCGAGGGCGTCCATGGAACAAGGTAGAGAGAGTGTGGCTGCCGAGTTGCTATTCAAGACCTCCAGAGACCAAGCAGGAAGCAGGTCTGATTTTATTGTGCAGTTATCATGTATATATATTCAGGCAGTAACCATGCAGACTATAGGCAGCCACAATGCAATTTCTGCTAACTGTCCTTGCAGTGACCAATCGAGGAGCAGGCCGTGAAGCCAAGCACAGGGACTGCAACACACGGCCTCATGCCCAGGTGGTAAGTGGTTTGCTGCTCACATGCCTAGCACGAGGGGAGTGTTCACCACTCAGACACCCTTAACATATGCCATGTACGCAGTACTCCATGAACTTGGCCCCACACAGTACAAGCAAAAAAAAAAAAAAAAAAAAAAGATTGGCGATTAGAATAAATTTAAATGCATAACAAAATAGGAAATGAAGGTTGGATATAAAACATTTTAAAAGACTCACGCTTTGAAATCTTTTTAGAAAATGTTCATAATGATGAAGGATCAAGTAGTGCTAATTTGTACAAGAGGGTCCTTGATTTATAATGGGGTTACATCCTGATGAACCCATTGTAAGTAGCAAATAGCATAAATTGAAGATGCATTTAATGTGCCTGACCTACTCAACATCATAACTTAGAGTACATTGCAGAAGTCATTTATCCTCATGTTCAGGTGACTTATCAAAACCAGCCAGGAAAGAGATCAAAATTCAAAATTCAAAGTAGGTTTCTATTGGCTATGTATCGCTTTCACATGGTCCCAGAGGTGACCTACCAGTCAGGGACCATCTGCATTTGCTTATTGACAAGGCAGCCAGTGGAATGTTGATTGATTATGGCCAATTAAGGGGTGACATATAAATGAAATGCCACTATAATCTCTGATCACACCATGATTCATTTTAATTTCTCAAAAACGGAGAAATTTTGCCACTGGAATCTCCCCAGAGTCTTTTGAGCGTAAGAGGACAGAAAGGTAAATTTATAAAAAGGGAATCTCAAAAGCATAAAATCTGTAGTTCCTTTTCTTAATATCACAAGTGAGGAATTCTGGGGTGGTAAAAAAAACGTATGCATGGTAATGGAGGAGAAGAGAGGGAGGTAAGATGAAGAGCTAGGAGGCTCAATACTGGAAATCAGAAATTCAATGAAAGAAATAATGCTGACAAGTTCAAAATGTCAGCAGAAAAAAAGACAGAAAAATACAAAAGACAATGTCCCCCAAATGCAATCCAGAGTGGGGGAGCGGAGAAAGGGCATCATTCTTTCAAAGACAGTGCATTGAAATCCTGCCAAGAGATAATCTTCTGATCACTAAGGGTCTTTCCTCTTTGTAGAACTTCTCTGAGGCAAAAAGGAAACAAGAGAAGGATAAGCATGAATAAGGACAGAACCCCTGGGCTCAAATGTGAAAGCCACCACCCAGTTGTCAGGGAGGACACACCCCTGGCTCTGCTGGCCTCCCTTGGAGAGGCACACTCCTGAGGATTGTCAGCTCAAGAGTTTTGACTGCAGAATTCATTGCCCTAGGGAGAAGAGATTGACAGGCTTGATGTCACAGGGGGTGAAGGATGACAATGAAATAGGAAAGGGAATATATGCATTGTATTTGTTTCTTACTGCGGCAGACACCAGTGACCACAAATGATCCCAAGTTTAAAAACTCAGGAACTTAAAACCACACAAATTCATTATCTTGTTGTTTGGAGGTCAGAAAGCCAAGATGTGCTACACTGGACTAAAATCGGGATGTCATCAGGGATGCGTTGCCTCTGGAGGCTCTGGGGGAGAATCCCTTTGTTTTTTCCAGCTTTGAGTGGGTACCTGCCTTTTTTTTTTTTTAAATTACCTTTAGCCCCTTTCATATTCAAAGCCAGTAAAGGTCAGCCTAGACTTTTGCACATTGCATAATTCTGACACTAATTCTTCTGTACCTATCTTCCATTTATAAGGACCCTTGTCATTCCATTGGCCCTGCCCAGATAATCCAGGAAAATCTCCCCTCTCAAGGTCAGCAAATTAGCAACCTTAATTCCATCTGCAGTCTTCATTCTTCTTTGCCAAGGAACCTGATATAGCCACAGGTTCCCAAGGTTAAGACATGGATATCTTTAGGCCGAGGTCTTTATCCTTTCTGTTATCTTATTTGAACATCAAATTCATTTCCAAACCTTGGGTATTCTTACCTGGGTAGCAGATGAGTGCTGCATTTTACAGTGTTAATGCCTTTAGGTTTCTGTAGTGCAGTCATTATTATGTCCCTCTCACAAGATGTTAATGATTTTAACACACTTAATTGTGCATTAAGAAGTACCAATCCCAATAACTCAGGAGGTTGAGGCAAGAATGAGTTCAAAAGCAGCCTCATCAAATTAATGAGGCCCTAAGCAACTTAGTGAGACCCTGTCTCTAAATAAAATGTAAAAAGGACTGGGGATGTGACTCAGTATTTAAGTGTCCCAGGGTTCAATCCTTGGTACCAAAAAATTAAAAAAAAAAATAAGTACCAAATTCCTTTTGAAACATAAAGGGTATTAATCTAAGAAATAAATATAATGGAGAGAAAAAGAATAATATAAATTTATATCACATTATCAGCACTTCAGTGTCCAATGAGCAGGAAAAAATAAAAAGCATACAGTAGAATATTATCCAGCCATGAAATGGAATATAATACTAATACACGTTACAACTTGGATGAACCTCACAACCATTATGCAAAGTGAAAGAAGCCAGTTGAAAAAATACATATATTACATAATTCCTATCACATAGAAGTCCAGATCAGGAAAATCTATGCAGAC